AATAAGACAGCTTCAATTTTTAATTTTTAGAAATTGGTTTAGGCATGAGCCAAAAAAACCTCAATTTGAATTAAATTTGGGTAAACTCAGGTTCGAGGTTTAGGACCCACGGGTTCAACCCAAACACCCCTCCAATTAGTGAAATCGGCTATGGTTTTTTTTTCCCTCTCAATCTTGAATCTGTTGCCTCTCTCCATCAGCTGCCTCTATCTCCATCTAATGCCTCTCTCCATCACAACACAAAGACATGGACCGCTCATCTATGAGAAGACTTCGCCTAGATCTCGTATGGATCTCGTCTCTACCTCTTTTCAGGTATGGATCTCGTCTCCATTGTAGTGCTTTAAAGATTGTTTGCCTAGAACCATCTGGTAGTCTCTATTTCTTTATTCCTAATTTTCAGAAATGTACTGGCTTGTCATTTATGTGTATCTACTTCTAAATTTTCAGATCTGTATTTATTTATAAAGAACTCCCTCTCTAATTCCTTACTTCTAATTTTCAACCCGAATCACGATTCCAAATTCAACCGAATTTATTAGGCTGAAATTAGCCCGAAATTTACTAGAATTATCAGCCCGAAATTAACCCAAATTAGTTAGTCCGAAGTCAACCCACTCCCTTACCGCATAATTTAACAAATTAATTTTGGCTAGCGGGCCGATTTGAATTTGTGGGACCCACAAACTATGACTGTGGTGGACATAAAAACTAAAAAGGAAAAAGAATCTAGATGGCAAAAAGTGTAAGGGTGGGGTGGCTGTTGCCAAACACAAATGGATTCAAATGACATGATTATTAGGAAGAGATTAATTGGGTACAAACACACAGCAACACTAAACCATCATATCATCTCGACATAAGACTTATATCTACCCCCACACATGAAAAAAGTTGCTTGTAGGCCCTCCAACAGTGTGACCTACTAAATGGCAACTCTTATTAAAGATACAGTACTCACATGATGCTAGGTTACCTATCATTCTTTAATTCTCCAGGCTTTAGCTCTCATGGGACGGTGTAACCTGCAATGGTATGGAAATAATTATTCAAGAATAAAAAATTAAAATGGTTAAGGTCATTGACTATTACTTTAATGATTGTAATTAACTCGGGATAAAGTTAGGATTTATTTTTATTTTTTTTTTGACGAGGTCAAATTGTGGTGAAATCAAAAATTTATTTTTCAATGGAGAACCATTGAGGTGTGAAACATGATTTAAAAACTTGAGGAGGGGGCCATGGCTTCCGTGGGTCATAAAATAGCCAATGGACAGTACCATCCTTATGTAGCAATACAGGGGCAGAGCATTGCATGACATCTCAAGAACAATAAGGGTAAGGTTACTTACTTCCACACTTCTTTCCCACCGGTCGGTTCCTGATGTTACATCGCTTGGGGATAGTGATAGCAATAGCTGGCTTGATACCGGCCTGCTTCGCCAAAGGCGACAGCAGGACAGGGCAGAGACATTGCGGAGCAGTCTTGATTAACCCATTAACTTTGGTGCAGCAAGTGGGAGGGACCGTTGCCCTAGCATTTCCCTCAGCGCTCAAGCAGCGACTTAAGCTGGCAGCTGCAGAGCGTATTGGGGTCCTCCCACACTCCCCGGCTGCACCAGCTGTGTATATAAAAACCTCGGAAATTAACAAGTATAGAACCAAAGTCACATAGTAAAATGTCATCTTGGAGGCCATCTTTCTAAGCTTAAAATGAACTTCTATACTATATGGTCCTATGCCAAAAGTGGTGCAAATATATAGAGCTGTATACTGCAATGTGAATGGAGGGAAAGTTTGAGTTTTTGCGGTAGTGGTGGTTGTGAAACGGGAGGTCACTATGTGGTGTGCGCTTTAAAGTGTTCAAGACGTAATGATTCAATTGTTTTGTTGGAATTTTGCCATTGGGAGTTGGGCAATGAGAGCTAGGTTCATAGGGGGACACATTATCTTTTCGACTAATGGGCAAGGTGCTTCAAAGGATAAAATTATGCTTACTAAATTTGAATACAAAATATTGCATCTTAAATGATACATCAAAATCATGTGTATTTGAATATTTGGTGGAAGTTAATATACTCAATTGATTCAATCACCCACATGGGATATAAACTTTGATAAATGATTTGATAAACATAGCATTGCTTTTTGTGTTCATCGTGCTGATCCAAGGTACGTTTTTAATTTATTTATCAATAGCATTGTATTACATTTTCTGATATCAGTCACATCGCAAAAATCACTGGCCTGTACAATTTAATTCAAATATATTTTATAATAAATGAATTTACTAGAAATTTGTCAAATACTCATTTTTCAGTTTGATTCCCCTAATGGGGAGTGTTAGCAGGGTTAGTTATTTCGTCACCCCTCAAACTATTATATGAGATATGTTTTGTCCCTCTATTATGACATGTCCCACTTTTACGGTAATTGGTTTCACATTGTACTAAATCAAAGTTACTGTTAAAAACTAATGAATATGCAAGGTGCCCCCTCAATTATCCTATATGGTTTCAAATTACATCTTTAACTTTGTCATTTGGTTTCATGTTGTGCCAACAGACTTTTTTTTTTTGTACAAAGTTTCAACAGCGGTTTGAAAATGTAATAATATGAAATGAAATACTATAATTTAAAGGAGAATATGAGAAATTCAATGTTAATTGAGATAAGACAAAACTAATGTGATACTCCGTAACATCGTTAATGTTGGGTGTATTTTTAAAATGTGGCAAAATCACTTATTCAAATCTCTTATCTATATAATGCAATTTAGAATAAAACAGTGACAAGAAAGAACAAAATAGTAACATGTAAATTTATAATTAAACAAACCGATTCGTTTGCAGATCATGAACTATGCTTGAATTTTGTAAATTAAGGCTAGTGTTTGACAATATGCCTTCAAGAGGGATTTTGCCCCTACACTTGATGCTTATGAAAATCTCAGTGTCTATATTCCAAGATACAATGATCTTCATTTAATTGAAAGTAGCACTCCAATTAAATTGTCTAGCAAACCAAAATTGTGTATTGTATTCTCAAAAAATGCAGGGTACTAATGATGAATTTATGAATGTGATGTTGCCTTAATTTGTAATGTATTTTAGAAGTGATCGAAATATGCGATTATGATTCTGATATTGACTGCGAGTCTTTCTCTTACCTTGTGTCAACATCATGACACACAACGAATATGCTTGAGTTGCTATAAGGTTCAATGGTTACTTATGATATAACCAAACCACACTATTTCATAGTTCCGAATTGGAAGCTGGAGTAAGAGTAGCAATAGTTGATTTTAACCATCCTGTCATTTTTTACTTTAGGAAGGAATTGAGTAAGGGATGATTGAATTGAATTCATGAGTTCATGAGTCTTCCATGTATTATTTCAGTNAATTGGAAGCTGGAGTAAGAGTAGCAATAGTTGATTTTAACCATCCTGTCATTTTTGACTTTAGGAAGGAATTGAGTAAGGGATGATTGAATTGAATTCATGAGTTCATGAGTTATTGAGTTCATGAGTCTTCCATGTATTATTTCAATCCTTGGGACTGAGTTCTTAAGTTAATGAGTCATGTCTTACTTCCTTCCCAAAGATTGTGATTTCCTTCCCTAGGATTATGAAAACGTATTATTAAGAATTTGTTTGCACAAGTGAAAGCCCTCCCCTTCCCCTCTCTTAACACTTTAGCTCCCTTTGATAAGGGCTGAGCGAGGGTTGTTCTTAGCTTNTATGAAAACGTATTATTAAGAATTTGTTTGCACAAGTGAAAGCCCTCCCCTTCCCCCTCTTAACACTTTAGCTCCTTTTGATAAGGGCTGAGCGAGGGTTGTTCTTAGCTTTGATTTAGTTAATGAATTTAGATTATTTATAGATAGAATGGTGACTATTCTAAACAGCCACCATATGAACAATAATGAACATATATAAGTTTGAATTCAAATTTAAACTAGTGCGAAATTTGAATTCCAAATGGCAAAAATTAAAATTTGGGTTAAGAATTTTGGACCCAATTAGTTAAACGAATATTCTCTAAAAAAAAATAAGGTTTAGTCCACACTGACACCCTCGAGCTAGGTTGGGGCAGGAGATGGCAGCATTCNATTTGGGTTAAGAATTTTGGACCCAATTAGTTAAACGAATATTCTCTAAAAAAAAAATAAGGTTTAGTCCACACTGACACCCTCGAGCTAGGTTGGGGCAGGAGATGGCAGCATGCACGCATGTTGTTGAATCGAAGCTCATATAGGTGCTCACCTGCTCACAAAAGTGTGATACCTCTTAGGGCCCAATCCATAGTACAAACTTGATATGCACTTGTAAAATTTTTACCCGATTTAAGCAATTGAATATATTACATTATTTTCCTCACAGAATAAAACACGAGCTCACAAAATTTTACTCGAAAACGATGAGTTGATCTCACTTTAATTTAGGTTCAAAATTGATCAAAAATCAAATTTTAATTACTAAAATCTGTTTTAGTCCAATTAATACTAGTGGCCCAACCACCACGACAACCATGTGACGATTTTTACAAGTATAAAAGCTTTGCAATTTATATTTTCTTTTCCTTGTCATTAATGACAATAGATTTTTCTCTCCGCTTTTTGTTATTTTTTTTCATATCCTCAATTTTTTCTTTGGCACAAACAAGAATACAATCCAAAGCTCCTATTTGTCCTCACAATAATAACATTTGTATAGCTATTTAGCATGCTGATAGAAACAATAATATTTATGTTTGGAGGAAGAAGTAGAAGTCATTAGCAGAACGTCTTCAATCCAAAGCGAAATAGAGGTTCTTGTAAGTTGCAAGAAAGAGGCAACACAATTCCTCTTTATAATTAGAACGCTAACAAAGTTAAAAGAAAGAGAGAGAAAGTGAATTAGGTCCCCATACAATTTTAGACTGAAAATGAAAGCGGCAAAAATGAAACAAAAAAAAAAAGAAGAGAGAGAGAGAGAGAGAGAGTCTTTCTACCAAAGTCCTAGCAAATTACTTTGGTTTTCCTATCCATGACAAATTTCTTCCAAGCATTAGTTATTTCCCTCTGCGTCTCGAGTGTTGTTTTCTTCACCACGGTGCCATTTTTCCCTTTCTGATAACTGGATATCATATTGACACTTAGTTTAGCAGGGAGGGTATCCAATTTATGGAGGACTTTTGTGATATCATCCACTAGGCGCTCGGCTAGGGTGCATGAGAAATCTTCCCTCACGACAACCCGAAGCACTGTCACATGTTGAGCATCCGGTGGCATGGTGTAGGCAGGCACAATCCACTGAAAACTGCGCAGCATATCTGACACATCAAACTCATTGTACTGACTGTTCTCCTTAAGAGAGAAGGCAACCACTGGAACACCATTGTCCTTGGACACAATGTTGAATCGGCCTGTCTTCTCCAATCCTCGTTTCAGCACAAGAGCGTTGTCCCGACAATTTTCCATGACATTTTGGTATCCCTAAGTGCAAAATATTTTTGCCAGATTCAGTTAATATGACAATAAGCTCCATATGCAGCTACAGACGTTAAATTGAATTTTGAGAGCATTACACTTTAATCCCTTCAACTAAGTCTCCTACATTACATCCTCTTCAAGATTACCTTCTTTATGTGTCTCCACCATCGATTATAAGTTTCACATTGCCCAATCCACTATATTATATTTATATTGCACATCCATCCATCTATGGTTATTGGTTTTACAGTACTCATATTGTAGACATTGGAAACACCTATTTAACTACAAATGTGGACATTTTTCATTCAAGACATCTGGTTTTGAGAGAACATGAAATCCATGCAAGTAATTGATGAGACATTATGAGAAATTCAATAATTGAAAGAGTGAAGCCAGATTGAGGCCNTTGTAGACATTGGAAACACCTATTTAACTACAAATGTGGACATTTTTCATTCAAGACGTCTGGTTTTGAGAGAACATGAAATCCATGCAAGTAATTGATGAGACATTATGAGAAATTCAATAATTGAAAGAGTGAAGCCAGATCGAGGCCATAATTGAAGGGGTCAAAATTTAATTTACCCTTGGAAAACTTATGCATCTTAATAGACTCTCACCTCATAACCCAAGCGAATTAGTTGATAATACTGAGCAATAACTTGGCTTGAACCTAAAAATGATAGAGAGATGACATTAGGACACTAAAACAAGTGTGTCATGATTTAAGAACACAAAATGATATGTGTTTGTAGTCACCTTTGGAGAAATTGAGGGTGAAAGTAGGTTGATCAGCTCCAAGGTAGTTGATGTGAAAAATAAGTTCCTCGGGTAAGTCTTCTTTGCTCCTCCAAATCACCCACCCAATTCCAGCATACACAAGACCATATTTATGCCCACTAACATTGATGCTCTTCACCAATGGAAGTCGAAAATCCCACTCGAGCTCTGGATAGAGAAATGGTGCAATGAATCCACCACTGGCTGCATCCACATGAATTGGGGTATCCCACCTACAAAATTGAACAGAACAAAGATAGATAAGTTATTACATATAATTGAAAAATTGAAGATTCCCAACACTAAGTTNTCTTCTTTGCTCCTCCAAATCACCCACCCAATTCCAGCATACACAAGACCATATTTATGCCCACTAACATTGATGCTCTTCACTAATGGAAGTCGAAAATCCCACTCGAGCTCTGGATAGAGAAATGGTGCAATGAATCCACCACTAGCTGCATCCACATGAATTGGGGTATCCCACCTACAGAATTGAACAGAACAAAGATAGATAAGTTATTACATATAATTGAAAAATTGAAGATTCCCAACACTAAGCTGTAAGTGATTCTTAAGATTCTAGAGTACCCAGTTTGCTTGTTCTTTTCTAGCAAAAGATCATTCAAGAGCTTGACATCTTCGAATTCTCCATTGAGAGTCGAACCCAAGATAGCAGCAACACATATGGTGTTTTCATCCACTAGTTCCACAGCTTTCACCGGGTCCATCACATAGTAGCCTTCCCTCAGCTTCACTTCCTTAAGTTCCACCTCGAAGTAATTTGCAAATTTCTCCCAACAAACCTATATTATATATACGCATAGAGAGCATTAGGAAACTTGTATTTAGTCCAACATACTTAAAGAGCCATCAATTTAACTAGAGAGAGCTGGGAATTACTAACGCATAGTATCAATTGTGCCGACATTTACTATTCATAAGATGCCAAGTAGACTAGTTACCAAATTAGATTTCCACTTATTCAAATCTGAGAGACTCTGATCCACATCCAATTTAATTATCTGTCAAATTTTAATTTTATAATTCACATTCGATTCCATTCAGAATGACAAATTTGATATAAAAATGCAATCTTCNGTCAAATTTTAATTTTATAATTCACATTCGATTCCATTCAGAATGACAAATTTGATCTAAAAATGCAATCTGCTTGAATAACTTCATAAGTTGACTTTTAGCAAATTATATCGAAATATCAACTAATTTCAACAAATAATCATTATATATCTTAAAAAAATATATCATTAATTCGAATTATAGTAAAATCAAGTATTAGTATAAATTCAAATCTGTGAAATAGAATGGCTGGGGTTTTGACTCCTCAGCCTGACCTTTGGAGCTAGTATTTGCGACACAAAAAGCCCGCCAAAAGCAGGCCAAGCATAAGTGATACACCAAACTCACAGAATGAGAGATGAAGCTATAGTGTGTTACCTGCACATTGGCTCCGGTGACAATGTTAGGCTTATCGCATGGTTTCCCCTCGGCTCTCCGCTTATTCTGCCACTTTCTCTTGAAAGCAAGGCCTGCCAGCATGATTGCCTCTGACGACCCAACAGTTCCAACCCCCACGGCAGTCTCTGACTCTCCTAGTGGAGCATTGAATAGATGGGCTATCATATTTACACAACGATTCTGCATAATCCATTGAAAAACATTTATGCATTAGAGCATCTCCAAAGAGAATGAATAAAATTTCAAAATAACTAAGGTAGTGTTTGGTAACATGGTGCTTGTGTTTTTTTGTGTTTTTGTTTTCATTTTTTGCAAAAAAAAAATAATAATAACACGTTTGGGATGTGTTTTCGTTTTTTTACTACCTCGTTTTAAAAATAAGGCCAAAATATGAAAATATAAAAAATGATGTTTTGAAAACATCAAAAAAATAAACATGCGGTGCCCCACTATTTACCATTAATGAAGTCTAATCTTTGAATCTCACTATCAACAAAATAAGGGTTTTTTTGTGCCAACTATAAAAACTTTATTTTCCTTTATTTTTTCATCTCTTTCTCTCTTTTGTCTCTCTCTCACAATTGTTACTCTCTCTCTCTTCTGAAGATGTAGAAGCCAAAGACGAAGACTAAGACCTGTGTATATACGAAAAAGCCAGTGACGTTTCCCTTTTTTTAACTTTATAATATATATAATATATATATACACAGATATGTGTATATATATGCATATAATATATATATATACATAGATCTGTGTATATATGCATATATAGACATAGATCTATATATATGATGTTATGTATACATAGATCTACATGTGTGTGTGTTTATTGGTGTGTGTGTGATGTATATATAGATCTCTGTGTGTATATGTATGTGTGTGTGTGCCTGTGTGTATCCTGTCTATATGTGTGTGTGAGCAAAGAATATCGTCTGTGAATTTTTGTGTGAACAAGAAGCTCTCCAATTTCTTTTTTGATCACAAAGAATATCTTGAGGTATTTGAGATTAAATATTAACCAAAATAATATCAATAAAATATTAATCAAAATATATAATACCAAATATATTTTTTATTTTTGTTTTCACAATTTTTTAAATATAAATGACTTCCAAACATGTTTTAGATTTTTAATTTTTATCACAAATAAAAAACTTAGTTTTTTTTTTTAAAACAAAAAACATAAAAACAAAAACGTTATCAAACGCACTCTAAAATTTAGTTATTCAAAGATAAAAACTATTCTTCAACAGAAGATGTTCAGAGTAGGTAAATTTTTTCTCCTCTTGTCCTTTTCCATCTCTCTTGTCTACTCTTTATCTTTTCTTTTATTTTTTTTTCTCTCCAACATTTCCAGCAAATTTACAAAATATGAGAAATAATATTTAAAAAAAAAAATTAAAATATAGACGATTTGTTGGAGCATATATTGAAAAAATGAATAATTACAATAAAAAAATTTATATTTTTTGATAACTAAAATACAAAACCTTGTTGAAAATACTCTTAGTCACAATTAAACAGAGTTTGGATAGGTGCAGAGTGCACCTGTTCAATCTTTTTATCTTTTTCCATTTTTCCTCTTTGAATGTAGACAACATAGAAGTCAAAGTCCACTCTATTTTCGATATTTTTTTGTGTGTTAAGACTCATTTTTCCATGATATGGTCCCTAATTTCATAACTATACCCAAGAAAAATAAACAGGACCACAAGTCAAGACCACCAAATAGAGTTGAATACAGATGCACAAATCAAATCAAATGTTGGAAACATTTTTCTATCAATCCATATTAGAAAAAGAAGCCACTAACAGTGTGAACACAAGAAGTTATAGTTTTTGAAGGGCAAACTACATTTTGACCCTTTCAATCATGATTTTTTTATTTTTTTTCACATAGCCCCTTTAAGTTACTTGTTTTTGCACCCTAAACTATAAAATTAGTTCATATTGCTTCAATGATTAACAGCTGTTAAAAATTTGATAGAAAGTTATTTTATTTTCTCTCTAAACTATGTAATTTTTCCATTTTGCAGGACATGTTGACAATTTCCATCCAAAAAAATGGTGGACATTGCATTTCAGACAATGTGTAATAATTTAAGTAGTAGAAGGAGCAATGTAAAAATTTCAGTGGTTCAAAGAGTAAAGTGAAATCAATTCTGTATTTATGAGGGTTTTAGTACCATTTATTAGTGTTAGAATATGATTCTTACCTAGATTAAAAAAAAACATAAAAAAGTTCGACAACCTCAGCTTAAAAAAAAGTCACGACCCATAGAAACGGGAAGAGCCTAGCTCAAACAATGTAAAATTNTAGATTAAAAAAAAACATAAAAAAGTTCGACAACCTTAGCTTAAAAAAAAGTCACGACCCATAGAAACCGGGAAGAGCCTAGCTTAAACTATGTAAAAATTTGAATTTATTTGTTAGTTTAATGGTTGAAATGGTCTGAAAGCAATATTATAACCGTTATTGTTGGAATTTTTTAATAGGACTATATTACTTGACATATTATTATGTCAATAAATTAAGTCGAATTTTTATATAATATTTTTGATAATCTAATCGGCAAACAACCAAAAAATGCCAATCTCCAAAATTTGGGCACAAGAGTTTCCAATCAAAATAGTGTGTAGAATAAGACCAAACAAGAGGTGGATTTGAAGACTGGTAATACTGCCATGGCCAGAAGTAATTGTTTTTTATTGGACAAAAATATTACTAATAATATTCTTTAGACCTAATTCAATGATCTAATGTACTGTGATTTAATGCANATGGCCAGAAGTAATTGTTTTTTATTGGACAAAAATATTACTAATAATATTCTTTAAACCTAATTCAATGATCTAATTTACTGTGATTTAATGTANTAGAATAAGACCAAACAAGAGGTGGATTTGAAGACTGGTAATACTGCCATGGCCAGAAGTAATTGTTTTTTATTGGACAAAAATATTACTAATAATATTCTTTAAACCTAATTCAATGATCTAATGTACTGTGATTTAATGCACTTACAATGTAACACATCTCAACCATTGAATTAATAACTTGTAACAACTCATTTTAGGGACAATTATCAATGATCCTATTGATTAAGTTATTAAATAAAGTCAGTAAATTAAGTATAAATCCAACTAACTTGCACTATTTACCATCCTGCCTAGTGAACTAATTTGTGACTTTTAAACAACTTATCTGCCAACAACCACCGGGCGATCACACACAATATGAGATGTGAACAGAGATGCAACAAGCCAGTATCGGGATCTAAATTTGACGTCCAATCAATTTACGGAACACAAATTATTGTAAAAACCGTAGCTGTGGGATAAAAAACAAGGGACGTTGCTCTCCTAGCCCCTAGGCCACAACATTGGTCCGTCCATAAAGGTGGAAGCGAAGAGCTAACCAGTTGGCCAGGGAAGAGTGTACAGGAGACGAAAGGCTTGCCTGAAGCTCAGTGGTGACAGGGTACTCATCCATGTCGACGTAGTTCTTGTTGATAGAAGCCATCATGAGCTTATCACACTCTGGCTCCATCCATGTGGTCACAAACGACGCCAAGTTCAGCCTAGGATTGCCATCAAGCATCAGCTCGTCGTTGATGATCTGAGAAGCCGCCTCCTTGGGTATAGAGCTCTCCGGCATCTTGAACCTGCACCTCATCAAACTTTTCATCATTCAATCTAGGCCATATAATTCTATAAATGATCTATAAATTCGAAACGAAATGAAATTAGAATTAATTGTATTCCTACTGAATTTGGGTGTTAAAAAGTGATCCAGTTAGATTGGTGAAATAATGGAGTCGACACAAATCTGGCTATAAATAATTACAAAAGGGTCAGGTATTTGGGTTGAACAAATTTTTCTACCACATGATACAATTTATACTCGCAATCCGACACTAACACTAGAATTCCAAGTGTAAGTTAATCACTTGTATACAATACCTATCATTGTATATGTATGTACATAATATACATATTGGATTGCGATGTAATCAAAAAGGTGAATGGTTTACCTAGGAAGTGAGGACCGAACATAGCGAGAGGCAAAGGTGGAGTGAATAGACACATCTGTTTCTGAAGTAGTTTTAGACAGAACCATGGTTGATATGATGTTGATGATGATGATGATGATGAGAGAGAGAGAGAGAATTTGGGTTGTGGTTGTTTGGAGCAGAACAGAAACACCCTTCGTGTTTTATAGGGGTATGGTAGGTAAGGGTTCCTTCCTTGCTATGCAATATTGAATTGATTCCATATTCAGCTATCTGAGAGCATATATGGAAGAAATGTCTGATCATTTCCCTTCCAGCTTTTCTAGAAGAATCGTATATATTAAATGATGGCTTGAAAATACAAAAACAGACCAAGTTATTATAATTATGTAAGTCTATTCAACTATGATTTTCAAATGGTAGACCCGTTGGGTCAACAAAGCACTTTTTCCGGTTTAGTTTTCTGAGTCATAATGTACGGGCTCGAGTTTTTTTTTTTCCTTATGTTGAATACGTAATCGGGTTATTCCATGTACCTTTTCAGCTGGGTCCATTACTATATGTTTTTGCAGCCAACCGGGATTGCCCGGGAAAAAAGACAGTGCAGGTCCTTTCAAACCGCCCAAGTTGGAACGGTCAAGTTCACTCAAACATATATACGGGTAAAATTACGCCATCAGGATTTGGTTGTATCATATTTACGCAATTAAAAAGGTTATGAAGTTCTTGCAAAAAATGAGCTGATGATTTAATAGACAATAAACTAGTCAACAATCAGATTTGGATTGAATTTCCACTGATATTATTCTAACTTGAAAACCAATTTCGATATTCAATTTGATTATCCAACGGATTTTATTTTTACAGTCTATATCTGAATACATTAAATTTTATAAATTTGATCGAATGTGAGTCAGCTAGAGTAGATTGTTAACATTACATTTTAATGTTGATTTAATTTTGATGGTGTATAGAATCGAGAAGTATGAACAATGAGAGTTGAGTGACTTCTATGCATGGCGGATGAGTTGTGTGTGTGAACAAGGTAACAACAAGCAAGAACACAAGGATATAAGTGGTTCACCAAGCTGAAGAGTTAGGCTAGAACATTATAATGGAGCCTCTTGCTAAACCTATTTTAATGACCCG